TCAGGACAAAAGTCCCTGTGCTGGGAACTTCTGGATCTTAGGTAGGAAGTGTCAAAACTGTGGTGAATCCCAGCACTGAGAAGAGCTATTTTTGAGAAGGCAGGACCTTCACAAGAAAAAAAAAACCTCTCAAAAGTGGGTGAAGAATACTGGACAGACACCTTCTCCAAAGACATTTATGCAGCTCACAAACATGAAAAACAAGCTCATTCATCACTGTCTTGTAGAGAAATGCAAATCAAAACCACAATGAGAACATTAGACATGAAGTCCTTGCCCATGCCTATGTCCTGAATGGTATTACCTAGGTTTTCTTCTAGGGTTTTTATGGTATTAGGTCTAACATTTAAGTCTGTAATCCATCTTGAATTAATTTTCGTATAAGGAGTAAGGAAAGGAGCCAGTTTCAGCTTTCTACTTATTTTTAACTTTATTAGCAACAATAGTAACAGAGGGAATGAACTTACTTCAACACAACCTATCAATGTGTGAAAAGCCCACAGTTAACGTAATAAAAAATGAAAATGTTTCTTCTATGATCTGGTACAAAATGAGGATGTCCACTGTCACCACTTCTATTTAACACGCTACTGAAAGTCCTAGCCAGAGCAATTAGACAAAAAAGCATCAAAATTAGAAAACTATTAAAATCATTTCTATTTGCAGATGACATGGCCTTAGGGTTTTTATATATAAGATTACACCAAAAAACTATTCGAACTAATAAACAAATTCAGTAAAGTTGCAGAACATAAAATAGCACACAAAAATCAGTGACACTTCTGCAAACAATGAGTTATTTGGAAGGAAAATAAGAAAGCAATCCCATTTAAAATAGCAAAAAATAATATATTTAGGAATACTTATCCAATGGGACAGAAGACTTCTACACTAAGAATCATAATACATTAGAGTCAAAGATATTGAAGGAGACAAATAACATGGAAAGGCACCATATTCACTGATTTGAAAATTAACAAGTCTTCAAATTTGTAGATTTGAAGAATTAACATTGTTAAAAATGTCCTTATTAAGCAAAACAATCTATAAATAGCAATTTCTATAAAATATCAGTGGTATTTCTTTACAGAAATAAAAAACCAATAAGAAAATACATCTAGAACCATAAAAGATCTCAAATAGCCAAATCAATCTTGAACAAGAGCAAAACTAGAGGCATCACATTTATTTCAAAATATATCACACAAAGATATGGGAATTATCACAGTAAAGAACTGTCATAAAAGAAAAATGGACATATAGACCAATGAAACAACAATAGGGAGAACAGAAAGCAACCCGAGCATAATTGGCCAACTGATCAACAAAGTGAAAAGACAACCTACAGAATGGGAGAAAATATCTGCAAACCATGTATCTGTAAAGGGTGTAATATCCAAAACTTATAAGAAGCTCAAACGACTCAATAGCAAAAACCAATTACCTTGATTTAAAATAAGTAAATGACCTGGGTAGGCATTTCTCAAAAGACATAAAAATGGCCATCAGGTAAATAAAAAGAGCTCAACATCACTAAGCATCAGGCAAATGCAAACTAAAACCACAAGGAGGTATCTCCTCCCACCTGTTAGAATAGCCCTCATTACAGATGAAACAAGAGGGAAAGTGGGGAAAAAGAAACCTTTGAACATCGTTGGTGAGAATGAAAATTGGCACAGCAATTATAAGCAAACAGTATAGTGTTTCTTCAAAGAGTTAAAAATAGTACTATCGTATGATCTAGCAATCATGCTTCTAGGTCATGGGTCACCCAAAGAAGTGAAATCGGGATCTCAAAGAGGTAGCAGCACACCAGTGTTTATTGCAGTATTCACAATAGCAAAAATAGAAAAATAACTCTAAATGAAGGAATGAAAATACACATACACATATTAGCACAATGAAATATTCTTTATTTCTTAGCCCCAAAGTTAGTCCTGCCATTTGGGACAACATGAATGAACCTGAACGATACTATGCTAAGTGAAAAATACACAGAAAGACGAATACCATATATTCTCACTTATCTAAAATAGTAGACTAGCCCATAGAAACAGAGTAGCATGTTGGTGCCCAGTGATTAGGAGTTTAGGGAAATGAATAAGGATTGGTCAAATGGTACAAAGTTCAGTCACGCAAAAATGAATAATTTCTAGAGGGCTAATGTATAGCATGGTGACTACAGTTAGCAATAGTCTTGTAGACTTGACATCTGTTAAGAGAATAAATCTTGTATACTTGACATTTGTTGAGAGGATATCTTAAGTGTTCTAACCACACCCCCCCCCCCCCCCAAAAAAAAATAACTGAGGTGATGGAAATGTTAACGAGCTTGATGGTGGTCATGATTTCATAACACATATATATATAAAAATCAATATGTACAGCTTTCATCTGTACAATTTCTATTCATCAACTGTACCTCAATCAGGTTGAAAATAAGCCAGATAAATCACATACCAAAAAAAATCTGCCATTGTGATTATGGATTTCCATTTTTTCATTTTTTTATGTATCGTGAAGATTTGGTATCAGTTCTATGCAAGATTAGACTTGCAATATTTTCCTGGTTGTTGGTTCCAGTCATCACTATCTCTACTAGTGCTTGTTGTCTCAAATGCTGCATTTCACATTAATTGCATTTTTTAAAAAAAAACATTTTTCATTCTTTGGTTAGTTATTGTCTGCTACATCTTTCATTCTTTTTTTCCCCCCTTGGGCCAAAGAATTTTATTGGCAGGTCAGGGGAAGAGCCCTTCCTTCCTGTCCCCTACCCAGGAGACACCCTCTGAAGGAGGGCAGAAGCCCCGGAGCCTGCCGCCTCAGAGGCCCTTGGAGGTGCAGAGGTTGTTGGAATGATCTCCCTGGCTCTTGAGCAGGCTGCGGTAGGTGGCGACCTCCTGCCCCTGCCGCTGTCAGCTCGCACAGTGGCCAACTGGCCCTTCAATACGTCTCCTCAGCGCCCGGATCTGCGCCAGCTGGGCCCCAAAGCGTGCCAGGCTTTCCATCAGTGTGCCTTCCAAGGCAGCTTTCAGGCCGAGCTGCGACTGCAGCTGAATCTCAAGACCCTGGAGGGTGCCCCGCAGGTGAGTGACATTGGACCTGCTCATCTGGAGCTGCTTCGTGTGGCCAGCGACCTCCCGGTTCAGCTCCTCAGCCCCGCTGGTGAACCGGACGTCAGCTCCTTCCGGTTCCGCTCCGCCATGACCTCACATTGGCTTCGCAGGTCACTCGGGATCTCGGCCAGATCAGTGCCAGGGGCGGAATCCACCTCCACACTGACCTGGCCTCCTGCTTGGCATCTCAGCCACCGACTTCCTCCTCGTGGTTCTTTTTCAGGGACGCCAGCTCCTCTTTCAGGCCTTGGATCTGCATCTCCAGGCGGGTCCTGCCTAGGTCAGCTCGTCCGGCACCTGCGCACTTTGATGGCGCCCTCCAAGCGCATGCGCAGAGCTTTCTGTTTCAGGCTTGGCCCGGAAGTGCTCTGCGGCCGCACGGGCGTTGTCGATCTGCAGGACAGTCCTGCGGTTCTCAGTGGTGGCCCCAAGAATATCTTTTCCCGCAGGTCCTCAATGGTCTTGTAGGAGCGGCTGGAGTCGCAGGAGGGCCCAGGCCCAGGCCCCTGCTTCTGGTACCAGTCGCGGATCTTCGCCTCCGTCACCATGGGCCGCGCCTTCAGGGCGCACACCTTGTCCAGGCAGGAGCCAAGCGGTGCTGAGGTTCTGCGTGAGCTTCTCGTTCCCCGCCATCAGCCCGTCAGATGCAGCCAGGACGCCGCTGTAGCCCCAGGAGGAGGATGAGGACACCAAGCAGGCGGAAGATGCCTACACATCGCGGCCACTGGAGCCCCCGTGTATGCACTTTTCTGATAATACTCCATGTATTCTTCTCAATTACCAAATTTATATTCTGTATATACCCTTTAAGTGCTGAAAAGATGAAGATTTTTCTTTGTTTTGCTCATTGATATAACCTCAGTTTGTAGAACAGGGCCTGGCAAACTATAGGGGGGTCAGTAGTTACTTGTTGAATGAATGAATGAATGACTTGGGGCCTAAAGGAAGATAACAGAGTCATGGAAAGTTATCTTTGTATCCTTGTACTTACAGATGAAAAAGAACATTCCGAAGAGAGGGAAAGCTATGTGAAAACATAGGGCATGGAAAGAACTATAGTGTTTCCAGCATTGGAGTATGGCCCTCCCAGATGGAGAGGCAACGCAGTGTGGAAAAGGCCACAGACTCCACAAGAGGTGGCACATACAGTGGTCAGGGGCAGGGACTCCAGCCTGCTTGCCTGGGCTTAAATCCCTGTTGAGCACTTTATAAGCTGCATACCCTTGTTCAAGTTTCTCGAACCCACGGAATCTCAGTTAAATCAACTAGAATAAGGCTAATAATAGGCTGTGAAAATAAAAGTGTTCCATCCATGTCACACACTAAAAATGGTGCCAGATCGTGATAATCACGCAAGAGGTTATAATTGTTATTTGTTAAATAAATTAATACAAATACAACCATGCACATACATAAAACTGATTTGAAATTATATTCTAAGTATGTGTCACCATTGGCTTGAACAGGGAGAAGTGTCAGATACTTCCATAGTTCTCTGGTTAAGGAAGTCTATGAATGAACCAATTCTACTCCAAACAAATGTGTTCTGTATAGCCCATGTCTCTGGTCTAATTTGAGGTTGGACTTTTTATATGCTCAAAGAAAATAACTTGATTGAGAACACATTCTAAAAATTCTGATGGAAGAAAAATCTCAACTGTACATTTAGCATCTCTGAGGTCTTGAATGTGTTTAGACCCAAATGCCTATAGATGAATGAACCTCCTTCCCCTGAGGATCTCCTGCTTGGGGCAAGTCAGGGGAAGCCTCGAAGGCTGTTTTATCACTTGTGAAATGTGGATGACCTTAGCTTCAACCACAGAGGGTGAGGGTCAAATGAGGTGGTGAATGACAAGTGTTTAGCAAAGAGTAGATGCTGAGGAACAATCTGAATATGGTGTTATTTCATACTCAATGAGCCCATGATATCAAAACAAATTTTCTCTTTGGTACAAGGTGCTCAAGGGTCATAAACACATTTCTTTTCATATTTATCAACTGCAATCTAAAAAAGGACTATTGGCCCAGAAGGACTGGACTAGAGATCAGTGCTATGAGGGAAGAGGGGGATAAGTGAACATCATCTCAAGTGTGATTATAGGAGAGAAGAACAGTGGGCTGAAACCCCCTGAATGGCAACTCAGGGAGCCAGACACTACCATGATGTGCTGATTGTTTATAGGAAGGACACCTAAAGTGAAGAGAGAGACCCTAAGAAGAGAGGACCAACTTAAGTTCTTTCACACTTTAATATGGAGCTTTCTGCATTCTTAGCATTTTTTTCAAAGCCCCTGTGACATCCTTATTCCTGAAACTGTAAATGATAGGATTCAACACAAGTGTAAGGATAGTGTAGAAAAAGGACACCATCATATCTTTCTCCGGGGTGTGGTGGGAGCTGGGGAGCATCTAGTTGTAAATAGCAGCTCCATGGAAGAGGCTGACCACTGTCATGTGGGAGGAGCAGGTGGTGAAGGCCTTCTTCCGACCCTCAGCTGAGTTCATCTTATGGATGGTGAGGATGATAAAGTAGTAAGACACCGAAATGACTGTCACAGGGATCAAGAGCATGACGACACAGCACAAGTACATGAAAATCTTGTAAAGTGAGGTGTCTGAGCAAGAGAGCTTCAAAACAGCAGGGACCTCACAGAAGAAGTGGTGAATCTCATGGGATCTGCAGAAGGGGAAGGTCATGGTGATGGGAGTGAGCATGAAGCCATCCACTGAGCCCACGAACCAGCAACCTGATGCCAGGAGGAGACATACCTTCTGGCTCATGAGCACAGTGTAACGGAGAGGATGACAGATGGCCACGTAGCGGTCATAGGCCATGGCAGCTAGAAGGCAGTACTCTGCACCTCCCAACTGCAGGTAGAAGTACATCTGGGTCCCACACCCAAGGACCGAGATGGTCTTCTCTTTGGCCAGCTGGTTCACCAGCATTTTGGGGACAGTGACAGAAATATATGTCAAGTCTATGAGGGAGAGCTGGTTTATAAAGAAGTACATGGGAGTATGCAGAGAGGAGTCAATGTGGATCAGAAGTATCAATGTAATATTCCAAGTCACAGCCATCAAAAATATACTGAAGATAAGCAAACAGGAGGCGGCCAGGGTGTGAGATCTGGCTAAAGATTCCCAACAGGAAAAAGTCACCACTCAGGGTCTGGTTGGCCAGCCACATGTGGTATGATCGCTTGAAGTGGCTTTACCTGGAGGACAAAAGTAAACTTTATGTTATTTATAATCCTGTGTGCGCCACAAACTATGTTTGCTTCACTTCAACTTTTAAAATTCCATGTAAAAATCAGAGTTTATTTCTGACGTCAGCTGTGAATTGGCACTAAAAAGAGAGACAGCACGTTAGATTGTGAATCTGATTTCCCATCTAGAACGGGAATGAAATATTTATATTCTCAGTGAAGAGGTCCATACAGCTGACATTAAAATACTTCCTATAGATGATATAGTCACTAGTATTTATTTTTACTTGTATATGTTCACATTGGTTATTTTGTGTGTTAGTATCTTACAGTTGCATGTGCCTGTATTGCCCGAATTCCATTCCCATGGGATTTTAGAGCTAATAATTAATATAAATATTTCTATATATTTGACCCTCAAGAGTCATTTCTGCAAAAAAGGATTAGTAATACTTGTTTCTTATTAAATATCTTGTTATAAATCTATGAACATACAATTTTTCAATATTTAAAAGCAATATATTAAGCAACCAGTAATTGTAGACATTTTAAACAGAAAATTCCAAACCTTTATATAACAGGTACAAATTTAGTCAAATTTCTTTAAATGTATTAAAGACACTAGTACAACTTGTCAATTTTTCTAATATGATTTAAATGCTTTTACACACATGATTTATAAAATACATTTTTTTACTTCCACTTATCCTCTTACAAAGACATTAATCTTGTGATTTATTTATTCATATTTTCGTGATTTCCATCAAGATGTTCTGATCCACTGTGGTTCTGCCAATCTTTTAAGATATCAAAAAAATTATGGCTATATCCTCAGGGGTCCCTGAAGTTGCAATATTTTAAAGACTACTCGAGCGTA